TTGCCTATTTTTACTCTGTTTACTCTGTTTTTATAAGAGCTAATACTGTTTGGCCATGTAGTTAATGCATTGCAGCTCTTTGGATGTGATTTTGTCTGTTAACAAACATGTGTCCTGGTGGTATTTTCAGTTTGTTATTTTAATATTTTCTTCTGTCAGCAGGCAACAGCCACGCGCATGTAAATGAAGACAGGCAAAGACAGAGTGATTTTTGCAACAGGTTGGTCTCTGAACCCAACGTCTTCCTGGACTCTTTCTCTTACCCGGACAACAGCCAGACGTCAGACACCATCAGCGTGGACAGCTCTGACAGCCTGGAAACCAGCTTCTCTGCCTGCTCCCCAGACAACATCTCAAGGTTAGAGACAGGAAACACGATGAGCTACACATCAAAGGAAGTTTCTTCTTTCTTTGATAGTTCTATTTGTTACTGACAGCTTGTATTTTCCATTTATTATCAGTGCCAGTACCTCCAATATGGCAAAGATTGAAGAGATGGAGCGTTTGCTCCGCGAGGCCCAGGCTGAGAAGCTGAGACTCCTCGAGCATCGAGTACTGAGCCAAATCTAACCTAAATTGTAACCTTGCATGTCGGATGTGTGCATTTGATTATAAATGTAATTTACTTACATGTGCAGGAGCGGGAGATGGACATACGCAGGCAGGCTCTGGAGGAGGAGAGGAGAAGAAGAGAGGAACTGGAGAAACGGCTGCAGGAGGAAACAAGCAGGAGACAGAAGCTTGTGGAGAGAGAGGTGAAGCTCAGAGAGAAGCAGAGATCACAGGTATTCACAAAAACTCACGAGAAGATGTTGAAATCCAATCTTGAGTTCACATTAGCTTCGTGTAACTACATTTCAGATAAAGACGAGTAAAATGTCTACTTTCATCTAATTTTATCGCAGTCCCGGCTGTTGACAAGATACCACCCAGTAAGAAAAGACGACTTTGATCTTCACGGCCACATTGAAGCGGCCGGACACAACCCAGACGCCTGCTTCCATCTGGCCATCACTGATAAAACTTGTCGCGGGTTCCTCGTCAAAATGGGAGGAAAGATCAAGACGTGGAAGAAGCGCTGGTTTGTCTTTGACCACAATCGCAGGACACTCACTTACTATGCAGGTGAGTATCTTTCTTTTAGTTCTCTACTTTGATGTGCAGCTTTTTTGGTGCGACAAAGTTGCTGCAGCAATGGCTGTAACTTTGAGCTACGCTTGGATACTTTGACACAGCAGTTCTGTTTATACTCCCGGCTGCAGACAAACACGAGACCAAGATGAAAGGCGTCATTTACTTCCAAGCCATAGAGGAGGTGTACTATGACCATTTAAAGAATGCGCACAAAGTGAGTCCGTTTACGTGCGTGTGTTTGTGTATCCGTGGCATTTTACCACGTGGCATTGTATAGTATTGACACCTGTTTGTCCTTTTTTTCTCCTCCCCCTCTCCTTTACTCTATATTATTTGACTTTTTTCTCAAAAATGACATTCACTTCCACACACAAGAGCCCCAACCCCTCGCTGACCTTCAGTGTGAAGACCCACGATCGGGTGTACTACATGGTGGCTCCGTCCCCTGAAGCCATGCGTATCTGGATGGATGTTATTGTAACCGGTGCTGAAGGACACATGCACTTCATGGTGTAACAGAGCTACAATTATTGTTTGCTAGGTTACCTAAAAAATGTAAGCTTCAGTTTACACTTGAAGTTGTCTACAAATGAGCTTGAGCATAACTTCTGCTCAAATACAGACTTTGTAATGTAATCTTGTATAAGTAGATCAAAAGAAGTGGCATGAAAGTTTCATAATCAGGCTGTTTACTTCTTTCAGCACTTAAAACTGTAGCTGTTGCATTTTCCAGTTTTTCTTTATCCTTCTAAACTGCGGTACACCCTAATGCTGCTTCACTACAGATGTATGGCTGTCCAACAGCTTCCTGTAAACTGTGGCCACCTCTTGCTTTCTTCCTGCAGTCTGGTTGCACTCCGCCTTTAGTCAGACTGAAATTTTTTTCCTCTGAATGTCGACTCTGATGTATTATTTCGATATCGTCACTAATATTCAATTATTAGCATACTGCATTTTAAAGTCAGTCACTTTGAATGCTGCTGCCAGCGTAAGGTCACTTATGCTTACGTGTGCGTCACTTCCATTTAAACGAACGAACCATTTTTCTTCACACATGCAAATTAAATTTGTGAAGGATTATTGTAGGCACTTTGTGACTTTATTGATTTAAGTTATTAGCAATTTTAGGCAAATATTTGACTCCTAGAGGCAGAAAATGACCACAGTGCAGTTAGATTTCTCCGTCTGTAGCTGTGGCTGCAGGCCTGACGTGAATGAAGCCATGTCGTGCAGCGGTGATGCTGTATGTGCTGCATCACCCACGTTCCTCACACCTTTCATGTCTGCATTTTCACCAGCAGAGGTCCTCAGCGAGCCCTCAGACTGGAATGACGTAATCCTCCGCTCTGGCCAAACTCACTTAGTATATATGAGTAATTATTGAAAGCTTTAATAATCTACATGTTTAATCTAATCTGTTTACTTGTAAAGCCTAGTTTATCGTGCTAAAACAAATGACGGAGGTCATCTAGAAAGCAAATGATTTTTTTAATGTGTTTAATATTTGACGTATTCTCTGGCTGTGTTTGATAATCAAAGGTCACTGTCACACCAGGTGACGAGCTGTCGGGTTACAGACTGCAGGGCTCACTGTAGAGTGCAGATCAGGCTGCAGAGCTGACAGTGTTGCAGGTGAAGTTGTTGCTTTTTTGGTTGATGCCTCTCTGTGACGAGAGGCGTTTGCCAGGTAAACATCTCAACCTTGTGCTGTTGTGTGAAACATAAGCCTTGAAACCCCTAGAATTACTGCATTTATATATACATATATATATATATATATTTTTGAATACACTTCATATTTTATATTTTGTTTATAAACAGTAACTCTATGCTACAGATTTTTATACTCAACGTGTGTGATAAATAAATAATTCTGATCATGAGTCGTATTGTTAAAGGAATATTATTTCTTAATGTGATGTCGGTACAGTACATGCAGCTTACACAGTAATGAGCATGTGAACCAAACTGATAAGAAACCAAAAAAGTGAATGGTTTTCAAATACAAAGGAGATTTAGAAAAGGCAAACAAATGAAACGTGTGTATTGCAATTAGCACCTGTAAATAAATACATAAAGGGACAAATATGAGAAGATAATATTGGAACACAACACAGCTGTTGCAGATATACTGCTAATGCCTCCAGAATGTCACTTAAAGTTCAGGAATTGTGCCATAAATTTTTTTTGGTGCTAAAAAAAAATAATTATATAAGATTATATAATTATATAAGATATATAAGAAAATATTATATTCCCCTAAATAACTTAGTGTAATTCAATTTTAAACCTTATAGCATCTAATAACTGGTCTTATGTACTGTTCATGTGCTCATTAACGCACTCATGTTTGAAACCCCGCCTTCCAATACCACAGCCTTTTATTGGTTGACCTAGTGGGGTTGGCATGGAAACAAAGAATGAAGCATGCTAAATTAGGTTCTAAAGAGGCACGTAGCCTCTCCAGAGGCAGAAACAGACACACAAACACAGACACGCCACAGAAAGCCAGGTTGGCCTCGGTGCATTATGGCTGCTGTAGTTTGTGTTAAATAATTGGGGCGGTGGGGGGGGCTGTCTTCAGAGATAGCGAGACTGTTTGCACGGAAACAGACAAAACAATCTGTATAAACACTGCGGCAACAGATCATACAAAATAGCATAAAAGTATTTTCCACTAACACACACACACACACCGTTGTTGCGCGGTGCTCTCGGCTGTTATCTTTCTCACTTACAGTATGAAATCCAGACTGCTGGATAATCATGTGAATGGATGCATTCACGTACACAGGATCTCACCTGCGTTTTCCAGCGATGGAGAGCATAATGTCGTTATTACCTTGTGGCACAGTGCGAGCCTGCAACTCAATACCTCCTCAGACAGACGTGATTATAAATCTACAGACATTTATTTAAGTGTTTAAATCTCAGTGTGCAGGTGTTATGCCAGGAAGCAAACATGTGTTGGATCAGGGCCTTAGGGAGCAACTGTTCCTTTCTCAGGGAGACGTGTTGCCCTGGATAGCCTGCATCGACACCTGATGTGGTGCAATCCTCGTGTTTTTCTCTTCTCGGCCTGCGCCCTCTGGCTTTCAAAATCAAACAGAGGTCTTTTTGTGTCACCTCTGCACCTCCTCATTTTGTAAATCAAAAGAACATTCAGCCTTTGCTCCCTCTTCGTAACGCAACAGTCCTCTTAACATCATCCCATGACTCAGATTAGTTTCCCATCCTTAACCTGGGGTTTTAACTTCATCTGCTATTAACCAGTCAAATTTTTCTTGCATTTTCTGTCTCTGTGCAACATTAATAAATGATCTTTGTTGCTCATTCCACCTTTTTTTGGTAATAAAATTATCAGCTTGTTCTTTTCCGCAGTGATATTAAACTCCAAAGCAAATCGTCGACTCAGTCAGAGTGGAATCATTCAGCATGTCCATTAGGTACGTTTTTACACTAAGAATAGCAATGACACACATTCCCAGACCCTTTTCCCTTTGATAATAAGGTAGGCTATGCATGTTAAGCGTTTTCCCTCGCAGCTGATTGGCCTGGCTCAGCTGGCATTCATGTGCTCACTATTCAGGTCAGTGAGCTTGGAGTGTGGATGATGCTGGAATGATGTGTCTGTGAGGACAAGCTGAGACTTGGCTGCAGTAAGATGGTGAAGATCAGTCAGGGAAAATATATAATATTACTCCTTCTCTTTGCTCTGATTCTTAGCCTTTACTTATATTTCAGATTTACACGTTCCTTCCGTATAATCCGAGTTATTTGCAGGCATGTGTTCGTATCTCCCCGTGTTAAAACTACAACAGTATGAAAAACGGTGTGCAGTTCACAACTTAAACAGATCCCACATGTTAGGTACTCATATTGTTTTATTGATTAAATAGGAAACAGGACAACATAGATGAGTCTCTACACAGAGATGCTGTTCTCATCCGACTATAACTGGGACAAGAATAAAGATGTGCCAGTTCATGAGCTGGAGATCTCATCCCACCATCCTTTCTGTCCACAATGCCATTTTTAATGGCTGCTCTCCCCTGTCAATTTCATTGCGAGGAGTAATTTCCACTCTTTCAAACCACAGCCCCTCCCATAGTTCACAGTGAGATCTGAGTATGTTACATATGAGCAGGCGGACACACAGGCGCTGTACAGTTCAACATATTGTGCAAAAACTTCATGGCATGTTTTTTTTCTGCTACATACATCCAGAGAAAGGTGTGGAATGTAAAATTTGGTTGTTGCATTTATCTATAGAGCTCCTGCGGTTCATCTCCTGGCATAAATAAAAGGTAAAGGGATTGGTTATTATCAAAGAGACTTGCTGAAAAGAAAGACAAAAAAGACTTCCTACAAAAAGTGGGAGTAACAAAAGTTAAAAGTACTGTAGAAAAGACTGAAAAAATTCTGACAGTCTGTAGGAAAAGCACCCTCAAAAAGGCACTCGCCCATGTTGTGTGAAAGGGTGTGTGTGTGTGAGAGAGAGAGACAGACTGTGTTCCCAGACGACCTTTTATCTCGCTCATCCTTTGTTACCGATGCTGCTTTGTGTTCAGGTGTGACTCTGAACCTTTCCTGAGTGCATGTCTAGGGTGGCTCAGCACCAAAGAGCCGGGCTTGTCGCTTCAGCTGCCCACGGGGATGTTTTGTGCTTGAGTGCTGTCAGTTTCCTTGACTCTGTTCCTGTTGCTTATGAAGTAGTGAAGCCAAGAGATGACAGAAAGACCAGCCAGGATTTACAGTATAGAATGCAAAGTTTAAAAAATTGTGATGTTGGAAAAAAGTTGCAGTCAGAGCAGTAATCTGCAGTCGACTGATTCAATCCACTGACTTATTTCCTTATCTGGGCGCTGCCACCTGTGGCTGCAGGTTTAGTACCAGCTCTGCGGACAGGAACCTTGGACACGGGTATCTTAGTGCGAGGGGGTTCTTTAGTCTGAGGGACTTGGGAGGCAGTGTGAGTCTGTGCACCGTGCTTCACGGGGATCTTTGAGTCACGCGCTGAACTGGTGAGAACTTTCTGGTGTTGGGGGTGCTGACTGTCCTCCTGGGTGTGTTTTGAGGTGGCTTCTGCAGCACTGATTTTATCTTTGTTTCCTGCATCATGTGAGTTAAAATGGGGTCTTTCTTCTTCTAGCACGGGTGTGGGCGGATTTCTGTTTGATTCCTCATCAGCATGTTGCTGGCTGTCCCGGACAGGTAGCCTGCCCACTCTGCTTCCTCCCACGACAGGGATTTTGCTCAGCCCTGATGCTTTGGCTTGTGTTCTCTTTTCTCTGGGGGGCTCTTGGAGGCTTGTTCGCGACTCCTTATGTGGTTCTTCGGTTTTACACGGTGCAGTCTGCACACCCTCCCCATTTGTGCCATTTGGACTAGCCAATTGGCCATCCACTGTTGCTAGTCCACTTCCACTAGGCTTAGCAGAGGCTGGAGCTTCACTTGGCTGAGGTTTAGGGGTAGGAGGAAGAGAAGTGACAGGGCAAGGAGCACCAGGAGGTACAGGATGGGCTTTTGGCTGAGAAACTGGAATCTGACCAGAAGTAGAAAGTGGTTTGGCTACAGAAATTGGGGCAGGAGAGTCAGTAGATACAGAAACTGGGATTTTAGCCAGGGCAGGTGGGGGTTTTGATCGAAAAACCTCCTGTTGGGCTGGAGCAGATGGATCTTTACATGCAGATGCTGGGATTTGAACAGGGGTGGGAGGGGGTTTGGATTGAGGGACTTCCTTTTGAGCTGGAGCGGGCAGATCTTTATATACAGTAACTGGGGGCTGAGCTGGGGCAGGAGGGGTTTTAGATTGAGCAGGCTCCTTTTGAGCTGGAGCAGGCTGATCTTTACAGACAGAAAGTGGAACCTCAACAGGGGCAGGAGGGGTTTTAGATTGGGAAATTTGCGGTTGAGCAGGAGCAGGTTGATCTTTAGATAAAGAAACTGGAATATGACCCGGAGCAGTAGATGCTGTAGAAACTGCTGCATGAGTAGCAAGTGCTGGAATTGGTGTGGGAGTAGGGGGCGTTTTATCTAACAAGACCGTGGCAGAGGTGGGTTTAGTCGCAGGAGGAAGCTTAGCTGAAGAAACTGAAGCTGGAGTTGTTATAGATGCAGGGCTGGGTTGGGTTTTAGCTGTGGGAGGACAGATATCAGGAGCAGTTACATGTGAGGGAGGGCTTTTATTTTGTTCTGTGAGGGTAGAGGTGAGTGTAGGCTTGAAAAGGGCCCCAGATGCAGAGGCTGAGGTTGCAGCTGATGTGGGAGCTGCTGTTTTAGAGAGAGTACCTGGGTCAGGAGAAGATGGTTTTGTTGTAACTGTGCAGGCTGGTGATACTGTCACTGGGGTTTTAGAGTCTACTGTAACTGAGATTAGAGAAGGTTTGCAGGAAGTGCTAATTGAATCTGACTTAGCAGGGGGAGGCTGGGAGATAGCAACAGGGATGGGTGGGCTGTGGGTTATTGATGGGGGTTTGGTGGAGACGGGGGGTGAAGTAGCTACAAGACTGGGTTTACTTACAGAAGTAGTAGTTTGAGGAGGCAGTACAGTCTGTGAAGCCAGTTTGCTAGCTGTAGAGGTAAGAACTGGACTAACTGAGGGAGCCTTTACTACAGAGGCTGGGGTGTTTGGAGGAGCTGTGGTCGCTGTAGAGGTGGACATCACTGTAGATTTACTTGTAATCACAAAGGAAGACGTTGGAGCTGAAAGGTTTGTTGAAGTTACAGGAAACGCTGAGGGTTTTGTTGTAGTTGGTGCCAGAGCTGTGATGGTTTTAGCGCTGACAGAAGGCTCAGAGGCTGGAGTAGAGTCTGAGCTCAGTTTGACTGAGGGAGTTGTCAGAGTGGAAGATTTGGTGAAAGTTGTGGTGGGGGTGGTGCTTGGCTTGGAAATGGGAGAAGAGGTTGTAGTTGCCTTTGACAGTGCAGTAAAGGGTTGGGGTGAAGTGGCAGTGGGGGCGGCTACATGATAAGGTTTTGCTGTGGAAGCAGTGCTGACTTTTGTGGGACTCAGCGGAGAGGAGATAGTGGGTTTGGAGAAGGGAGATGTGGATGTTGGCGTGACCTCAGTCACCACAGTGCTGATAGCACTGCTCGCTTTCCCCCACTCTGCTTCCACATCAGCCATGATGTCCCCACCCCCTGTGATGGAGTCAAAAGTCAGGAGAGACGAGATGTCCGCAAGCAACGAGCTCAGGCTGGTGTCCCCGGGCACCAGTGGTGGCTCAAGGGTGGGTGACGACGCTACATTTTCACGAGTTTTACTCTCACTGCTTGTTGTTACCTGGGAAGTTGCGGTGTCTGGTGGGGATGGGGTTGCACTGTCCAGAGTTGTTGCACTCTTGACGTGCTCACGCCTCTCTGTTTCAGGGCTGTCCAGAGAGCGAGGCTGGGATTTGGGTGTGAGGGTGAGGTCCTCTTTGATGATTTCAACACTGTTGGCACGGGATGACATGAGGAGCGGACTAGGAGGGAGTTCCTCCTTCTCCTCTTTATCTTTCGATTTGAACTTAACATTTCCAAAGAGACCCTTCAGCCCACGACGCTGGCGACCCACTGGCTGGGACACGGTGTGGACTCGGCGGTCCCCCACTCCCCTCCTGCCACCCCTCAGCAGTGACAGGAAGCTGAGAGACTTGGCTGAGCTGGCTGATGAAACGGAGTTGCGAGCAGGGGCGGCAGCCAGAACGCCATCTTCGCCGAGTTGCTCCTCCTCTGCCTGCTCCTTCTCTGCCTCGCTCACCTCCTGTCCCTTTTCCTTGTCTGGCTCCTGCTCAGAATCTGGCGCAGGACTCTCTGATAATCCATCTAGTGTTTTGCTCCTGTGAACAGGTGACTTGTTGTTTCCATCTCCTTTGCTTCGAATAGAAAAGATGTTACCTGGCTTGCGTTTGCCAAACAGCTTGAATCCTTTTCTGATTTTTCCACTTGGCTGCGATTCACAAGGTGGGGGGTCCATGTTCTCCGTTTGTACGTCCATCTTCTCTCTGCGTCCCCCTTTTGTTTTTGTATCCTCCTGTCAGCTGCTGCAGATTTTATTCCCCAGCCAGTGATGGAGCATTTATATCCAGACCTTTTTCTCCGTGTGTAGCCTTGCGCTACCTCCTCTGCTCTCAGTGTTTCTTTATCACTTGTCCGTATCCCTCCCTCCGTCTGTCTTTCCCATCCAGCCCTTTCTCCTCTATTTCTCCCTCAAAAGCCCCTCCCCTTTGGCTCATTTTTGTCTGGCTGCCCTCCCTGGTTGCCATAGCAACTGAGGGGCTAAGCAGCTTTCGTCAGCAATGCAGAGCCAGGGGCTGTCATCAACCCACCCTGAACATAGCTTTCTCGTCCTCTCTTCCTGTCTGATGACTCTGTTTATATAAACAGCAAAGACAAATGCTCCATTAATAGGGCCACATTTTCAATTCTGAATGATCTGGCTTTATATAAAACTTCTCATCCAGATTAGGGCAGCGCTACCTCGACATACAGCCTAATAATTGGTTTGTGCTGTGGATTTGCCTTAATTCTACATAAACTGGCCTCATTTCAATCATCTGCATCACCGCAACTCACACCAGTCTGTTAAATGTGTCGTGAAGCTGTGATTTACAAATAGAAATTGACGTCTATTAATAATAATAAAGAGCAATAATCTTAGAATATAATTAGCATATTATTTGCCTTTCTTTTTCTTTTCATCTAATGTGTTGGATATGTGTTCAATATGTGTTGGATATGTGTTCAAAAAGCATATTTGTAACACCTTTTAGAAGAACCAACTGTAATCCTTTTTAATTTATTCATATTTTTTAGTGGTGGCTAATTTTTTAAGTTTTTTAAAATCCCACTGAAAACTCGAGCTTGTTGGTATGACCTTTTGAGCGTCTTGACAGAGTCACCACCAGATTTTTGAGATAGAGAGAAAAAGAAGGGCATTAAACTCTGTGAAGCAACTGCTAATTCAACATTTAAATCTGTGTGATGCCCCTGAGTTATATAGACCTGCATTGCTTTTCTAATTTGCAAATGATGTATATTTATGAGGGGGAACTTGTTATGTTTTAATTATCACCGGGTTAATGAATTTAGTTTGGGCGGGCAGAACTAGGGCGGCTCCTTGTGGCTGCTCGAGAAACAGCAGTAGAACGTACAGCAGCAAGTCTGAAAATAAAGCTGCTGTCTCATCCACATGCATTCTCTGGCCCGGATAAGTCTGTGTAAGTGGGTCAGCCTTCTTTGAAAAAATCTGGCTATTCTGAGCTGTGTTAAGATTCAGTGGGACGCTTAAAGATATATTCACTCAGGCTCAGTCACTCAAAGGGAAGTATCTTAAATGCAGTGTTTGAAAAATTGTCATCGTCGTGAAAATGTGACTTAAATAGAGATGGTGTGACATCTGTTTTGCTCACAAGTACCTCTTTTCAAAGACAATTTCATTAAAGTCTCTATTTTCTGCCTTAAGTCCTCAGTTTAGGTCTACGCAGACAGAAATGCAGAAATGAACTGAGTAATGCTTCAGTATTTATCTCCTTTGTTAAGCTAAAGGGGGGAAATAAACAAAAACATATGTCACTGTACACATCAAACACACGCAAACATTAGTTAACAAAATGAAAAAGTTGTTTTTATTCACTTCTCTTGAGGCCAACGTAAAACTCTCACCCTGTGCATTAGCCTCAGTGTGACAAAAAGCTCCAGTATTGTCTAAAAAAATGGTAAAACTTCTTTAAAAAAGAAACTGCATACAAAGATACACTGCATACATGTTTGCAGAGACTGATGACAAGAGAAGATTGATACTACTGGCATTTCTTTATCATAAATGTGATATGAGGCACATCTAATGGCCAAGAAAATGTCCTGCACAGCACCGTTTACATCTAATCATCTGCAAGAAACAACAATTCTACTATAACTAATGTAAGTCAGTCAAATTAAGAGATTTTCCTTGTTGGTATTTCTGTCGGCATAACTTAAAACTTTCAGTACCCAGAATATATCTATCTATTATCATGCATAAACATCAGAACAGAAGAGATTGACATATATCCGTGGAAAAAGTACAAAGACACAGGGCTAAAAGCAATGCAAAGAGTGCTTATGAATCCAGTAAAACAAAGGCATTTCTCTCTCCTTTCCTTAAATGAGGTAAAATGTTAGACTACTTTATGATCTCTTAACTTACATAATCATTTACATAGTTAAAAAGCAGTGATACACAGTGATTCACTGTCCTTTTTTAGACATCATGCTCCATGAGAGTAGCCTTTGGCAGCGCTGTGGTGTTCTCTTCACTGTCATGTGTCTCAACTGCCTCATATGTGCGGCGGTACAAAAACCGATTGACCAGGGTGATGATGAACATCTCCATGATCAGTATCTGCTGATTAAGCACTGCGGGACACACACACACACAAAAACAACAATAAATCAGTGTTGGGTAGTTTCACATCAGTTGTGCATATCTGAAAGGCGTTTAGAAATGTTTCTTACTGGTTCCACGGGCTTGAGAGCTTAATGGAGGAGCACAGGCGATGTCTCCGTACAAGGCCACGATGTTAACGATCGATGTCTGCAGCTGGCTCAATACAAGTGTTAACTAAGGATAAAAACAATGTAACATTTACACAGTGGTCATGCTGATCGTGTAGCATGTCTACTAGGCTGATTTTCACTGAAAGTTGGTGGACAGGCTGGTGAAGCACAGGCAAAGGATAACTCCATTAAATCTTGGTGCATGTTCCAGTCATTTTCTTTAAATATATGGTTTAAGTCATGGCTGTTGGTATTGCATTATTGGCTCTGGCATTTGCAAAATACTAAGTTCAGTTCAGTTTTACAGGGAGAAACGTCTGAACCAAAGTCAGGGAGAGGCAGCGGAGTACGGAAAATCGAGGATTAACTCTGAAGTCATCCGAATAAGACAAACTCCCGCTTCGTAGTGCTGGTCTGTTGGTCTGTTGGTCTGGTGTTTTCACATTTTCAGCCTATTTGAGTTTTCACAATGTCAAAAGCATCAATGCTGGCATGGTGTCCCTGTTCTCTGATAGAGGAAATTACCTTTTGATTTCTCTTCACAAATTGAGCGGATTAACTCATCACAAGAAAATTAGCTGTGTTAAGTCAGCTTCAGGAGTTACCCCCAACACATGTGAAGCACCTTAGCATCTGGTATTACAGCTGTTGACTCACTTGGTACATTGCATACTTTGGTATAATCTTGAGTGGGCGTAGATAGCGGTTCATGTTCATGAAGACAATGGCAACAGGCCAAAGGGAGATGATGGTTAGAACACCAACAAATAGGCTAATCCAAAGGGTTATACCATAGATTCCTATCTGAAAAAAAGAAACACACACACACTTATATGAATCTTATAGAAATATGTTTTAATTTAACGCACATCTATTTTAGTCCACTCAGATATGTAGAGAACCATTTCAAATACTTACATTAGTAGGATCATAGTTGCCATTGGTCCACAGTACTATAGACAGGACAGTGAACACCGTTTTCAGGATTGCACACTGAAGAGAGCCTAACTTCAGCAGGAATAACATTCGCCTGAATAAACCCAGTCCAGAGACAGACTAACATTACACATGTGTACCATGATAAGGTAATGTGCAGTCAATGCAGAATGACAGAATATATGATATGGAAATCTGACACAGGCTTGAGCTAGAGCCAGCACAGTGATATGCAGCCTCTCTTTATTGACTCTTTACCTTGACATGGGGACGTCGGGTAAACATGGACAACAGCAGCAGCAGGGTCCTGTGCTGATCCTAAAGGGTTTACCAGAGAACTTCTCCAAAAAGGCATTGCTGCCCCCCAACTCCTCAATCAACAGAAGCAAGATCTTGTAAATCACAACTGCAAAATAACTGTAAGGAAAGAGGTACCTCAATACACGTCTAAGATGTGCTGTTATGTATTGTTAATTATGCAAATCTCATAAAATATCAAATGAACGTAACCATCACAGGTAGTAAAATTCAAAAATGTATTTATAGCAGTGTGAAATGTGTGCCTGATCTAACCTGCTATGTTTGTGCAGGCAGCTAAAAATTCACAGTGGACAACTTGACTGAGACAAAGACCAGCTGTTAGAGCCACCAACTTATAAGCTGCAAGTTGGTGGTTTGAGTCCCTGTTCAGATGCTGGCATCTGCTGACTGTTTTTTGTACAGAATGCCTCACCAAAGTAAGCATTAGAAACAACTTGCATGATGGTAAATATAGATATAGATATATATGTTGATGCCAGGTTAATGCAAAATATCCAAAAGTTCCATGCATCCAAATTCAGAAATTGAAGAAATCTGACCTGCATGGGAGGCCAAGCCTTTAATGTCCCAAACAAACATTAGCTTTTAAGTTTTTTTCAATTAGCATAAATGCAACCACCAAGCCCTTTTGATATAAGTAATAACTCAGCCACAGTAAAACAAACAAACAAAAAAGGATTAGGCTAATGGCTGTTTCTCAAGAGCAGGCTCACATCAGGAATGTGACGTATGGTGCTGCATGTTCATCTGGTCTGGATTTGTCCTGTTGCCTCAGGGACAGGACAGCTGGCTGTTTTTAATGCATTTATAAATTCTGCATTATATCAAAGATTCTTTCAAGCTAATGTGAGGCAATCTGAAATTTAAACTAAAAGCTGGCCTTTCAACAGGATAAAAATCTTTGCACACTAATACATCGACC